CAAAAGCTGCAGGCAAGATTTCCTTTGAGACATGGGAGATTTTATTATGCGGGTCATGAATAATTAATTCCTTATCATACCGGTCAGAAATTGGGGTTATCCTATAATAATGAAAAGAAAGGGAAAGAGAGAGAAAGGATGAGTACCTGAAATTACAGTCGTGAGACAGCGACAAGGTGATGCCGGACAACCCAGTAGAAGTATACTAGTTTGAGGTAGACCGTGACGAGGGAGGGAGATGGCGGACGGGATGATGATAAAGGAGGCGCGTTAAACCAAACAATGATATTTTGTTTTCTTTTTTCTTTCTTCTTTGTTCTGTTTGGTAGTTTTCTCTCTTTTTTTTTCTTTTTTTTTTTAATATTTTTACTGTAACGTGGTTCCCCTTTTTCGTCTGACTCTAAAATTATCCATTTTAAAAATATACATTTTTACATTACAGCATGGTACAGTAGGATCCATTTACAACAGAGGATCCTAGTCTCACAAGGTAATTGTCACGACCCTCAACCGTAGTCCAGGTTGTGAATATAAAACAGAACAAAGAAATGCTCGTATTCAGAAATGTCTGACCGAGCCTTAGAACAATGTCAAAAAAAAAAAAAATTTAAATAAAACTTTAATGTCCATAGCTGATAATAGAAAAATCCCTTGATTCAAAATCATTTTAAATAAAGTTCCCTGTTCACGCATTATCTAAAAATATGAAAGTGAGTTTCATACGTAAAATCTCATAATCCTTTAATTACAATATTTAAACATGATCTATTTGGAAAAATATTTACAAATATACATACTAGTCTCAAAATATACATTTCCCATTTAGACAAAGATAAATAACCAAATAGAACCCAACATCTATCCATGGTTGTGGAGGCAATCCCTCTACGACCTCTTGTCCATAACCTGAAAAAAATGTATATATAATAGGAATGAGCAACCACAGCTCAGCATGAAATACCTAACCACCACTCCTTAATACCCTCATGAATCCAAACAAAGAATAAGAATCAGAAAGGGAGTCATACAAGTCAGGGGGAAAATAATCATCACATAATCATGCTATCACACAAAAACAGTCAACACAGAATAATATAAAGTGCCATATAAGCAGAGTCAAAATCATTCCTCTTAATACAACCTTCTATACAAAGTATCACCTTTCTAATTAGCACAATCATCAGTCTAAAGGTAAACCCCTGTACCGTGAAAAGACTATCCTTCTATTAATACCTAAGGAACCCTTTAGCATTAATGATTTACTGCACGTGGACAAAAGGATAACTACCCATGTCTAATCATAAACACAAACTGAGAATATCTATCTTTATTACTCCATAATTACCACATTCATGCCGGGAGAGAAATAACCACAATATCACTTTATAAACCAAGTCATGAATGGATATGCCATGCAATGGGTGCAATGTCATGCGATGTCGCTCCCCATTTTTTCAAAACCAACCGTCACTTTTCAAATTGTTAATGTAACCCCCTTCGGTAACCCCTCAGCACCGAAAGAAGGATTAGCTACTGTCCCTGACCCTTGGTACCCCCGCGGCGTCATTTGGGGGGCAGATAGTTCAACCACGGTGATCTCCCTAGTTCCCTCTAGGTTACATAAACTCCACGGACCGTTGGTACCCCCGCAGTGTCTGGGTTTTCATAAAAACCATTTCATCAAAAAAAATTCTCCTAAAAATCCCTTTCACTTTCATTTCAAAAAAATTTCCCATTTTCTTTCATGCCCAATGCTATGGATGAATGCACATGCTTCATAATATTATAATACCACATCATTACTCACATCAAAATCCAATTCTATAAACATACTTTGGCAACAAATATATCATGGCAGCAAACTTCACAATGACATACTATCACAGCCTTCAAGAAATCAACTCAAGCATGTTATCATCTAATCTATACAACATAGAAGTTATTAGACATAGAAAACATATACAAATTCTATGGACACACTTTGGCAGCAAATTTGGCAGCAAATTTATCATGGCAGCATGTTTCAAGGACAATGTATCATTCAGTTCTTTGAACACTATTACAACACCAAACTTATAACAAAACAGCCCATAATTGAAGTGAACTAAATATATAATTTTCAGCTTGTCAAAGAATAACAATACAACCATTGTGATTACTAGAATTTCAGTTTTTAGGCGCATACACATCAATAACATTTTAAGAGCTCAAATTCCATATTTAAAACATATAACGCATCATTTCTGTCTAAGCTACAAATTTTTAGATTTTAATTACGCAACATGCTTGTAAAGAAAGCCTAATTCAAGTCATATAATGGTTCAATTTAAAAGATTTAATTCACAAGAAAACAAAGGGTGTGAGGGTTAAAACAACCCCTACTAGTTGTTAACAATTCATACGCAGCTTGTTACCTCCATCTTTGAAAATTCACACTATGTCAAATTGAGTGATTCCAAAGCCTAATGAAAGCTTAAACAATGTACTTTGAAAGTGTCAATTTAGTTTAACAAAATCTCTTCCCAATTGGAACAGTTTTGACCCAAAATTTTGAAATAAATTCTGCCCAGAAAACTAATTTCTAGCCTGTTGCTTCCAATTTTGAAAAATCATAAAAAATTCAATTCTCATCCAAATTGAGTGAATCCAAAGCCCATTGAAATTTTAAAGACTATGTTTTCAAGATAAAATCTTAATTCACCAAAATCCTTTACCATTTAAATCAGGTTTGATGAGAAAAACTCGGACAAAATCTGCCCTCAACCCAGAATTTCCAGCAAGAACACTATAACTTCAAAAATTCGTAATAAATTCATTTCTCAACCAATTTAAATGAAACCAAATCTCAATGAAAGCTAATTAACTATATTATCATAATATCAAATCATCTCTAAAAGATAAATTACGAATTTACATGAATTTGAGCAAAACAGTAGCATGCAATTAAGTTTCAGCAGCACAGAATTTCAGTTTTATTTGTATACACTTTGCAACTCAAAATTTGAAAGAAATTAACTCACTAAAGGCAAAGGAATTGAGGGTTAGATAATCCTACCTCTTAGCAGCTTGAAAACCCAGCTACCAACAATTTAAAGCAATCCAAAATAAGCTACCAATTTTGCAAAAAAATGAAGAACACCTCTTGAAATTCAACCAACCCTTCCTTTTTCAAATCAGATTTTAAAATCCCAGCAGTGAAGAAATGATTGCAACTGTGCTACCAAAATGAAGCCCAAGACATCAACTACACTTTTCATTCACAAACCCTTCTCAAAATCCCAACACAAAAGCTTCAAACTGTCATGTAAAGAAGACTACTATGAAGGAGAGCAAAAGGGACGAAAAATGGCATTCTGCAGATTGTGTTTTGTGTCTATCTCATTCAATTGTAATGCTATATGTCATCACACACACACACAATATGTGGCCATGTGAACCCTCATGTGTTAAGCTCACAATTAGTCAAATACAAGACCAAGCAAAAATGACCAAAAAGTCTTTTCATTATTTCTAAATGCCAATTATGCCATTTGCCTACTAAAAGTCTATTTTGCCCTATATAAAATAATCAAATATCATATATACCATTTGTAAAACAAAAAGTCCATAATGCCCTTTATGAAATAAACAAATGACATTTAACTAAATTAAACATATTTGCAACTTAAATTATAATTTCCAGCAATAAAATAAAAATGCATGAATATCAAAATGACCAGAAAAATGATAAAAATGCAAGTGCTCACAGTAATTAGAGCCATGTTTGTCGTGAGTGAGATGGCTTAATTAATTAGAGCCATTTTGTTAGTCCTTGTAGCTTTTACTGTAATATTTTTTATAAAAGGCTTTCTTTTCATTTGTCCATATACTTTTATTTAATATTACACGCCCAGGGTCGGCTTGACCTTTAGGCGATTTAGGCGGTCGCCTAAGGCCTCAGCCAATATGAAGGCCCTAAAAGTATTCTTTCTTTATTGTATTAGACTTCTTAAAATTTTTATTTCCTTTATCAGTTAGACACTAATATTATTATTTCAACTTCTAAACATTTTTATTTCCTTACATTATTAGATAGTCGAGCCAATAAGAAAACCCCTAAAATTATTATTTTCTTGCTTTATTAGACTTCTTAAAAAATTTATTTCCTTATATTACTAAGCCCCTAAAATTATTATTTTATCTTTCTAAGTTCCAAACATTTTTCTTTCCTTATATTATTAATTCCAACTAATTGTAACCATTTCCATACTATAAGGCCCTAAAATTATTATTTCCTTACTGTATATTATTATTGTTATTATTATTATTATTATTTACAGTATATATTGGGTTAACAATATATTATAACAATATATTATAGACTTCTTTATTTTATTATATTACTATACTCCTCGTAGCTAAAGAATTTGATTAATTCTAAAATTTTCTTTTCACTTTCTATCAAAATTCACAATTCTATAATAATCTAATTTTTTTCCCAACTCCCTTTCTTCCACGTTTCTATTGAATATATATTTAAGTAATAGTTAAGCTAAAACAATTAATTAATAATTGTGAAAATTAATTTTTAAATAATTTAAAAATAATACAATAGTGAAAAACAATATTATTCACTTAAATTTTTATTGCCCTACTCTCAAATATTTTCATTTAAATAATATTATTAATATATTAAGAAATTTCTTTTATAATTTTCGCCCAAGCCTCAAATTATATTGACCCAGGCCCAACAACCAAACATGTTAGTACCGTATAAATTAAGGACCTTATTAAAGTTTAGCTGCTTCTGCCATGACTTTAGTTTGTGTGTGCGTGTATATATGGTGTGTATATGTATGTATGACAACGAATGGGAACTCCTGAAAGCTGATCAGAAAATGAGCGGTGATTATCTGATGCAGTAGATCAGAGAACTATACCCAGGACCAGGTTAGAGATTCCACATCCTTTACATCAGATTGGTCCATTCGAAAGCACACAGATCCCTTATATATTACCCACAGCCACTGAAAAGTATCGCAACCCATCAAAAACCAAAAGCAAGTAGCAATCGACACCACCATATATATATATATATAATTGACACCCCCAAGCACCTGATCCCTCAGACATTTTCCTTTACTTTCTGCCGTTTGTTTCTCGAGAAAGTGCTTTCTTTTCCATTTTCCTCCTCTCGTGTCATTTGAATTTGATAAATGAAGGCCGGTAAAAAGGCAAAAAAAGGTGGTGGAGGGAGGAATGGAGGTGGTCCGAAGAACATACCGGTGTCATGCTCCGTTGAATCTGGTGGACTGCCGGTCGAAAGGATCGGCCGCTATTCTCAGCGTGTTGGAACCGTCGGTCCAGTATACCTCGGTGCTGAGGAACGAGGTAATATTAGTTTTCCACTTCCCTCTCTCTCTCTCTCTCTGGTGAACTACATTAAACCTTTTTCACCAAATCTTTCCTTTTTTATTTTTTGTGGGGTCAAAACCCCCCTCCCCCAACTATTGAGCCGGTCCATTAGTGCAATTTCAGGCAATTCTGGGTCATTTTTGAAGACTAGGCAGCTCTAATGGACTCTTCAAAAAATGAACCCCATTAAAACAATCTTGATCCAAGTAGCCAAATACCAAGATTGGTTTAGCGAATTGCGGGCCTGACATGTGGGCCCGCATTAGGTTTCTTTTTCTTTTTTAATTCTGGCCCAAACAGTGTTTTAGCCCAGAACATTGTTTGGGAGGGGCTGTTGGCTAAAAAAAAGGAAAAAAATTAGTTTTTTGGCTGATTTTGGTCTGCTTTTTTTTTTCTTTTTTTTCCCTCAAAATAGTTGAACCAAAGAACCATTAAGGCACTGTTTGGCTGACACAAATAGTGCCTTAAAGTCTTTTTTGGGCAAAAAAAAAGTTTTAAAAAAATAGATAAAAGTGTTTTTTTTTTTTAAAAAAATTACTTTTTAAAATATTCCTACGGACATATAACCGGTTTAGGCACTGTTTGGCTGACCCAAATAGTGCCTTAACGGTTATATTGGCACAAAAACCTATTTTTTAATTTTCTTTTTTTTGAAAAAATTCATTATATACGTATTTATTTTTAAAATAAAAAAAAATTAAAAACCTTTCATTGTTTATTTCAAATGATATTAGAAACCTTTCATTGTTCAGTTCAAATATGATTTTTTTATTTTAAAAAAATACGCCTTTGTTTTCATTATAAATTAATAAATCAAATGATATTAATCAAGATTTCATACATATTAGACAAATAATTTAATCAACAAACAATTTAATTATTTATTTCAAAATAAAATATTACACAATAAATATTGCATTACATAAACTTCATACCAATTTAAAAATAAAATAATGCAACATAAATTAAACATGTGCTTCACCAAAGCGGTTCCACAAATTTTCAATTAAATCTTTCCTCAACCGCGTATTTGTCTCTTTGTTGCGAATTTGGACTTAGCGAGAGTATATGTGTGCCGCTAAGACTGATGGATTTTGAATTAAAGTGGGAATCGAGATTGTCTCCTCCGGTGGCAGAGTCCATCTTCCAACATTGGCATGGCGCTCATCTTCAATGATTATGTTGTGAAAGATGATGCACGTTTTCATTATAAGGCACAAGTCCCTTTTATTCCAAAAACGCACTGGTCTTTCCGTTATTGCCCACTTGCTCTGCAAGACCCTAAAAGCTTGTTTCACATCTTTCTTACAGGCTTCCTGTCTCTGAGCAAAAAGTTGTTGTTTTGTTGTAGTTGGATACAGGATGGTCTGCATCAAAGTTACCCACTTAGGGTATATACCATCAGATAAGTAATACCCCATTATATGGTAATGACCATTCACAACGAAATTAACTGGGGGAATTTGGCCAGTAACGATATTATCGAATACCGAAGAATGATCCAGCACATTAATATCATTGTGTGAACCAGGCATTCCAAATAATGCATGCTAGATCCACAAATCTTTTGAGGCAACCGCCTCCAATATGAGCGTAGGCGTATGAGAGCGTCCTTTGTACGTGCCATGCCACGCCACCGGACAATTCTTCCACTCCCAGTGCATACAGTCGATAGAACCAAGCATACCTGGGAATCCTCTCTCCTTCCCTTCTTGAAGTAGTCGTGCTATGTCGACTTCGTTGGGTGGGCACATATACTCTTCCCCATACACACCAATAACAGCCTTACAAAATGTCATCAGGGCTTCAATAGCAGTACTCTCACCGATTTTAATATACTCGTCACAATGATCGGTTACACAACCATATGTGAGTATATGTATTGCTGCTATCATCTTTTGTATAGAAAACAACCCCAAACGACCTGTTGCATTCCTTTTTTGGATGAAGTAGTCGTCATAAACTTTAACATCATTCAGGATACGAAGAAATAGTTCTCGTCGCATCCTGAATCGTCTGTGAAAGTATTCTGGTGGATATGTGCAATTCTCGTCAAAGTAGTCTTTCATTAGTAAACAGTGGCTTCCCTCTCGATCACGATGAATGTATCGCCTCTTACGCGGTTTAAAAACTTGCTCTACTATCTCTGGCTTCACTGAATTCAAAATCTCACGAAAGGCGTCTTGATTACGTTGAATCATCGAGTCAATAACGTTATCTGATGAAAAGGATGATGAAGAAGATGAAGAATTAGAGCCTGATAAAGGAAAAAATCGTGATGAGGAAGCCATTAGAATTTTGAGATTGAAAGAGATGTGAATTGATATATTACTAGAATAAAGTTGAGATGAATGTAATAATCATGGGATGAACAAATGGTTGTTTATATAACATGAAAAATATAGCCATTAGGAATATAGCCGTTATAAATATAGCCGTTAGAAATATAGCCGTTAGGAAAAAGTTAAAAAATAGATTTTTTTTTAAATTTTAAAAATATTAAAATAATAATATTTTTGGAGAGCGAAAATGCACCACTAGAGTACATCTGATAGCTAAAATTTGGAGATTCTAAAATGCTAACGTGGCTATGGAAAAATACTGATATAGCAAATTCGGAGAGCCTGAATTCGGAGAGTCCATTGGAGATGCCCTAAAGGTGGGTGATTTAAGATGGGTGATTTAACTAATTTCTGTTAACTAACTATCGAAGGGGGTGATTTAACTTATTTCCGTTAGCTAACTATTAGAGGGGGTGATTTAATTCTCAAATATATATATATATATCTATAGCAAATAAATTTCAAGAAAAAAAACCTAGATTTATATTGGCAAAAAAAAAAAATCAAACATTATTTCTGGTAATGTCCCTTTAATAAATCTATATAAAATGAAAATTAATAAAAACTAAATAAATGAATGCACAATATAATTATCAACTATATATATATATATATATAGCAAATAAATTTCAAAAAAAAGAAAAAAGAAAAAAAACCATTGCAACAACATGTACTTTTCTTCTCGTTCAACTTCTTTTATTTACCTATCATTTTAATATTATATATAATTTGTATCATAATATAATGGTATATATAACATGTATCATTAAATATTATTTAAATATATTTTCATTTCCATCTAGTCTTCAGACCAATATAGATCTACGTTTTTTTTTTTTAATTAGGAAAAAAAATCTAGGTTTTTTTTTCTTGAAATTTATTTGCTATATATATATTTGAGAATTATATTGTGCATTCATTTATTTAGTTTTTATTAATTTTCATTTTATATAGATTTATTAAAGGGACACTACCAGAAATAATGCCTAATTTTTTTTTAATTATATTGTATAAAATGAAAATAATTAGGCATTATTTTAATTATTTTTCATTATTTTAAATGATCATTTTAATTATTCATTTTTTTAACTAGGCATTATTTTTATTATATTGTGCATTCATTTATTTAGTTTTTATTGATTTATTTAGTTTTTATTTAGATTAATGTAGTTCACCCTATATATATAAAGACATGTACACACCTGACTCGGCCAGAATCGGACGACTCAGCAAAAGACTCGGCCATATTTTTTACATTTTTTTTTTTGGATGATGACGCATTAGTATATAAATTGCACGACTTTTGTTTATTTCTAAATAGATAAAGTAGCTCATTAATATATTATTTCTTGCAAAATAATAGTTTGTCAGAGACATGAATTTGATTGAGTCCTCTCACCAAACAGTCCTATCTTCTTGAGTACATAGACTCATAGATTTAAAAAAAAAAAAAAAAAAAAAAAAAAAAAAAAAAAAAACAACAACTTAATAAGATACTTAAATTATGATTGTATAATTGCCTCATATTTTGATATGACAATTTCTTTGTTGCAGACTCTGTGAGGAAAATTAATGGCATGAGTAGCGTCGGAAAAAGGTATCCATATGAGATGCATATTTTTATTGATCATCGAATCAATTGTTAAGCGTAGTAAACTGTAATCGAAAAAACAAGCTAAGTTCTTATTTGTTCAAAATTATTGCTATATTGGGTTTAATTTTTATTTAGAATGTATTGGTGCCGTTCATATTTTAAATTGTATTTAATTTTTATTTACAATATATTGTTGCCATTCATATTTTAAATCAGTTCGGAGAGTCTTCCAATGAAGGCGGCAAAAGAGGAGCTTCCCCAGTGAAGAAAGCCAAAAGAGTGGCGTCCCCGATGAAAGCCAAAGAGGAGCATCATGAAGAGCACAAAGAGGCGAAGAAAGGCAAAGAGAAGCGTCCCCCAAAACCACCCATCTGATAAGACATGGATTATCAGTCAATATATTAACTTAAATCTTATTTAGGAAGTATACTAGCTTCTGATAAGACTTGGGAAGCTTATCAGTTTATCTGAACTCGAATCTCATTTAGGGAAGCATATTTTGTTGTGAACTTGAATAGCTAATGTCTACAACTCTTTCATGCATATGATCTAGCTAGTATTGAATAGCTAATGTCTACAACTCTTTCATGCATATGATCTGATCAGTGGTACAGAAAGAACTAGGCAACCTAATCCTGCTTGTCACCATGCTTGAAGTGAGGAAATTTCACTGTTAAGAGTCTCTGTGCACGTGAATCCTGGAGATTGCAAGTTTGATGCCACCTTAACCTCGGTAGGAGAGTGACAAGCAACTGATTTTCCTAGCCTACAAAATAAACAGATCCACACACAATCTAGAACAAAGAGGAGAAATTAATCAGGAGAAAGCAAACTAACAATTGATACGATGACGGAGAAAGTTTCTCAGTGCCATAAGCTACCTTATAGATAGCCTTTCGAAAAGAGCAGGGAGGAGATGACGGAGAAAGTTCAATTTTGTGGAGAGCTAGCTAGATGCTTGATCATCCCTCCAAATCTTGTGAATGAAAGTTTCCTCTTTACAGTTGCTTAAATAAAATCTTCCAATATTCTTAAATTTACGGCAAAACCTATTCACCTCTTGTGGTCTAAAATATTCCCCATGACTTTCATTAAGAAAGCATATTCATAAGTTGTTTCCTCACAATGCCCAAAACGACCTCCTTCACCAAAATGTCCTCCATCCATATTTGTCTTCAGGATGACTGACTGAGAACAACCTGGACATGTACTATCTCGTACTTTTGCTACCCATTTGGCTGCTTCCCATACTCCAACTCTGAGAATAATTAATACATGCTACCAGAATAAGATTATAGATATTAACTTATTCTTATATGTTGATGTATGAGCAAATACATGCATCTAATTATGGATAGGGAAGCTATGAGATATGAACTTACCTTGAGTCATGAAATGATGCTGTCACAAGCATTGAAGGATAACAAACTCCTTGAGCAATATTATCGTAAGGGGAATATTTCAAAATAGACTCCAGTTCGGATTGTATCTGAGGATTTCCAAATTCTTCGTAGTCCAATGTGGTGAGAGGCAAACTGGGATCCAACAATGTGTTGCATATATCCAAAAATGGAACCTGTTGCAAATATCACCGAAACATTATTCTCCCACTAATTAGGTGATCATAGCCCAACAAGGAACCAATAAAGTTGGCAAAAATTTGAAAACAATGCTTGTTAGTTCCCGTGCCAATGAACAGAAGTGAACAAAGAAAGAGACTTATTTCACATGATCATAGCATCTGTTTCCATAGTGAGATAATTACAAAATAATATATCTGCTCACCAGAGGAAGCAAAACAAGATGCCAATGGAAAAATATGTTCTAAGTTTACATGTTATGCACTTAACTGGAGCCCATTCACGCTCAGATTTCCCTTTTCCTCGTATCTCAAGTTCTCAACTAGCAAGATTATGTGTTAGTTTCAAAGTGATAATGCTCCTTGGTTACTGAGAATATAAAAGTAAACGGTAATTTGGAATCTTTCATGCACAATTCTCACCCCCAAGGTGTTTTTTAACACCTAACTTTCTTCCTTTTACATCTTCTTAGCAATAAGGATGAGTATAAATAAGGACCCAGATTACAAGAATCCACAAATACTAGTTCAATCTACTTTGAATCAGATTTCTGATCGTGATATGGGAAATACTTTGGAGCTTAAGCTTCTACCTTCAAAATGGCAGCCTGAAACAATTCTGGATACATATTGATGGCTGCTCCCACTAGAAGAGATCCTGCACTGTATCCAACAGCAGCAAGCTGATCTTTATGAACGTAGCCCTCATTAACCAGGTATTTGCTACATGATACAAAATCATGCATGGAGTTTAACTTGTACAATCCACAGCCAGATCTATGCCAAGAAGGATCTACACCACCACCACCCCTGGCCACACAATAAATAAAATATTTCAATCAAATCCGTTCACATTTTTTTTAGCAAAGGTAGCGATCATATATATTTGACATCACTAGCTTAATATCTCTTATTCTAGAATCATAAAGGCATAATATTCAATTATATGTTGTTAACAACACTGAAATATTGACAAAATTTCCAAGATGGGCTCAGCAAGGAGCTCAAACTAAATCATGGGATATATCTTGAACATAGAGAGCCAAATATTATCAGGTATTTTTCTTAAAATCATAAAATTCCTATTCAACTCCACAAAACTTCCCCTATTTCCCAAAACTGTGGGGTTGTCTTCGCATGTTTATGATTTGCATTCCAATACCAAAACCCATACCTTTATTGATCTATCACTTGTCCTCACAATACCTTCAACAAATTAAAGATATGACCAAGGCTTTTGCTTCGACTGTTACTAAGACGGTAATCCAACATCTTTCTCCATGATGCAAATCAAACTAACCATACACAACCTCACATTGACTAATTTTTTATTCTGTTAAAAACTGTCATGATACCCACTCCAAAAGGCAGTTCTGCAATGCTCATGATAAAATATAATGAACACAATGTAACTCACCTCACATCAGCAAATGCCACCACCCAACCACGATCAAGCAAACTCAAACGGTCTGCACACCAGCTTTTGTCCAGAACTTCCCCATATGCTCCATAGCCCTGTATAAGTCCGGGAGACTGACCCTTTTGCAGTGTTTTCTTATTGTACAAGATCATCAGAGGAACCCTGACACCATCATGGGAAATGACTTCCTTCCTTTCACAACAATATGTATCAGAAAAGTCCCTCCATCCCTGCACTTCATTACTCTCGACATTTTGGTCTTTTTCATTTGGAGTATCTATAAGTTCATTGGTTTTTCCATCATATGTCAGAAAGCATGATCCAGTAGTACCAGAAACACCCAGCACCTCCTCCTGGTGCACAATGGAAATTGTACGTCTTGACATGTCATAATCAACAATTACATCAGGCATCTGCACTTCCCAAAAGAAATGATTGAGAACTTAAGAGATAACTCTCTACTAAAAGTCAACATAGATCGGTGTAAAGAACAAAGCCAAAGTCAAAATACCTCAACAAAGTCATCATCATTTAGTAATTGCGAAAGCACTTGAGCATTCTTATAATAAAAACTCAATTTAGGACCAAAGTAGTAGTATTCCTAGCCTGGTGATTGGTGTATTTCTGAATTGTGAATTGTGAAACCAACTGATATCCAAAACTTGAATAAAAAAAAAGTTCAAAAAAAGTTAACCAGAAGTTGCACTCTGAACATTAAATCCCTTCGTCATTGAATCATCATGTATTCCAACTTTAGATATGTCAAAGGATTACTTACAACTGAATATTAGTCTTTCACACACATTCTTTTACCATTTAGGCTCCGTTTGTTTCGACATAAAATATTCTTTTTGAATTTTTTTTTTTCCAAGTAAAATATTCTTTTATTTTTACTTTGTCGGTGTTTGGCAAAGGTCTACATCGAGGTTGTAAAGAGGCAGATTATGATAACAGGAATAAAATTGAGCGTTGTTGACCCGTCATCAGGTTTGGGTGCGCCAAATTTTTAAATGTACAACTAATCTACACACGCACACAGAGAAGAGAGAGAGAGAGAGAGAGAGAGAGAGAGAGAGAGTGTGTATAATGTGCTAAAACTACAATGCATTAACTTCCGGGAAAAGAAAATCCTACAATGCATCAACTACCAAGGATGTTATCTCAGTATCAAGCTAATTAGAGGTTATACCACTGGAGAAGAAAGCACTGCACGGTATACTGAGCTCATGAAGTCATGATTTGAACCTGGAACAATTCTACATGAATTTGGGGGCAGAGGGAAAAACCACGGATTAAGATTGTCAATCAGCATATGGTTCTGCAAAACAACTTCAGACATCACCAATAGAGAAAAAAAACTCATTTTTATTTGTAAAGACCAACAGTATCAGCAAATATATTGAAAGTAACCGACCACACAGCAAAAAGACCTGGATAGTACAATGTAATCTAACTCACAAAATACCAAGAGAAAATCGAGGAATCTCCTTGTACTGACATTATAACATCTGCACTTTGTACTCTACTTCAATTTTGAACAAATTTTATTTCTTTCCTTTTTCTACTCTTATTCATCAAAATTTTATAAAATCTCAATTTTGATCCAATAAGAACTTAAGTTTGTGCTTTGCATTCAGGCTTGGGTTCCATACAAGGGGGTAAAAAAAAATAAAAAATAAAAAAAAAATGAAAAAATGAAAAAAGAGAAAACAATAAATGTACGAAATAACAATGCTGTAGTATATCGACTCACTAAGAATCCCACTGTTTTTTTCGTTTAGTTTTACCTTTATATCTGCATTACAAAAAATTTAGCATTTATCACAAGGTCCACATGAGAAAGAAATGAAGAAGAAAACCCAATACCTTGTTACCAACATCTATAGGCATATTGATGGAACATATCAACGGGGAACCATTTTTGTTGAGGAAAAGCACCAGATGTCCATTAAAAATGTCCATATCTTGTAAGCAGGTATCTTCACTTGGTACAATTATCCTCTGAAAAGGGGGAAATTTTTTTAAAAGGAGTGAAAATGAACAACAAGAAAGCAATAAAGATGATTCCATTAGATAAAATAAATACAAGGATTGTGAGACACAACAAAATAAGATCAGGATTGACTTCAGAAAGACACAAGGATTGTCTGGAAATAAATTATTTGTGTCCATCATTGCCTAATTTTAGTAATAAACAAGACTTGATATGTAGCTCAACAAAAAATTATAAATCAATCATGTTTGAAGCTTGGGCATTACAAGTTCCCAGGAAAACATTGCAAAATCAGTCTGTCATCCATAGGGAATCAAGTAAGTTCAACAGAAAATATCCAAGCCTCAAGGATTATGTGAACAAGAAAACTAACTTCTTCCTTCTTCTTTTTTCAACAAGTAAACAAGAAACTAACTTCACATTTTCCATAATAAATTAGCAACTAAAAATACCCCTTGCCTTCCCTGACAACTGATTAGCCAAAGGAGATAAGAGACCAACCCAAGGGCCACTGCTTGTGCAGGGGTAAAAGCTTAGCTTGCCAAGCATGACAACACGTGTTCAAGTGTGTAGGTAAAATCGCTATATGCAAATAATGCCAAAGATCTGGTCTAGATTAAATCTGTCCCTTCAAGCATTATTGATTATAAGGACCACAGTATGGTCTTCAACATAGACAGCAGCTTAACCAGCACCTAAGAAACAGGCTGATTGCAGTGTGGAGTTTAGCACAACTGAAAACTTCCATCTTATAAGAACTCAAAGCTTAAAACTAAGTTAGGGTGCATACGAGGTAAGAGTCCCTATCTTTTTCAGATTTAGTCAACCCAACATTTCCATGTTTCGAATGAGAAGTTTTTACATAATAAATGTCAAAAAAATTACTTCTAAGCCACCCCCGACCCCTCATTGCAGAGAGAGAGAGAGAGTAAATTGCCAAAAAAGTAAAAAAGAAATAAAGAAAAGGTTTGGTGGGAAGTTAACAGGTACATTTAGAATATTCCAACTTCTCCAGTGCTTTATGACCCTTGAAGTGATATTTACACAGCCATAGATAGCAAATAATTGAACACCAGGAGTCCATGTATCAGATACATGGACAATGACAAAATTTACCTGCCAATTAGCCAACTGTGCATCTTCAACTTGGCATCTAACCAAGGAATAATTTCCGCTGCACAACTCCTTATCCTCGGTCAAAGGAGCATTCGTAAGAATGTAAAAATATCCACAGTGATGTTCCAAAAAGAACTGTACACCATAGACACGCTTATGTAATCTTTGTAACCCATTTTGCAGATTGATTGCATCGATCACATAGACCTGTATGAAACAACCATGACATTAAACAAGTTAGTAAGTGAAATTCTTACAAGTTACAACAACATCTAGAACAGTACAGAAATGATATAGATATATTCCTTCCTCAGATGACGTTCTAGAGTTGGAATTCACTGTTATAAACTTGCCATCCTTTGTGCTTGTGATGTCCAAACAAAAGCTAGAATCATTTTCTGTAAATATTGGGACATCATCCACAGAATTAGATCCCATTTTTGTGCATAGTAACCTGAAATTAAGAAATAAGTAAGAAAATATCCAGTCTCCAAAATGAAGGACACAATAAATTAGTAAGAGAGTTTGCCTGTTTGGCCTCTGGTTCTCATCTGATAGTGTATAGAACAAAGTACAACAGTCTTGAGCCCATGCCAAGCTAACAACCCCATCAACTCGTAATTGTGGAAGAATTTTCCCAGTCCTAAGGTCCTTAATTTGAAGCATGAACTGTTCACTTCCTTTAATATCAAGTGTGTATGCAAGGAAGTTGTGGTCTGGTGATACTCGACATGTACCCACATGAACATATCCTACAAAAGTCAATCTATTAAAAGATATAACCAGAGCTTATAAATTAAGAATTAAAAGGGTTAAAAATAAAGTGATATGCAGATAACAAACAAAATATCGGTCTAGAATCCAATTTGCTTTCAAGATCACTCATGGCCTAGAGACCCTAGATCTAAGAAGCACGGACACTCCAAAATGGACGAAGAATCCGTGTCCGACACGTGTCGGACACGGACACGTGTCGAACACGCCCCGACACGTGTCGGACACGCCAAAAAACGTGTCTGGAATTTTTTTATTTTTTTTAATTTTCGGACACGGCTTAGACACGGCTTGGACACGGCTCGGACACGGCTTGGACACGGCACAGACACGGCTCGGACAGCTCGGACACGGCTCGGACACACTTTTCTGGATTTTTTTTTAAAATTTTTAATGCTGATATGTTAATTTTTTTTTTTTTTTTTTTTAATTTTTAATGCTGATATGTTCTATTTTTTGTTTTGTACTACCCTAAAGATGGTGATATATATATATACTAACCTAAAGACGCCACAATTCGCCGTGTCCGTGTCCTAAAGATGCTGATATATATATATACTAACATATCAGTGATATATATATATATTCCAACCTAAACATATCAGTGTTTTTTTTTTAAATTATTAATGCTGATATATATATATATATATACTATTTGCCGTGTCCGTGTCCTAATTTTTTTGGATTTGCCGTGTCGCTGTGTCCGTGTCGTGTCGTATCCGTGTCCCGTATCCGTGTCCGTGCTTCTTAGCCCTAGATGCACATCAAAGGGTAAAACAATTTCTAAATCTACACATAACGGGTTATATAAAAGGTAACATAATCAACATCTTAAACATTGTTCTCTCTCAACTTTTCGAGGATATGATTCGGAAAAAAATTCACTAATATTGACACTAAGTTGGCAAGAACAGATGCATTATGTTGGACTTTACATAATTTTGACCTTTCATGATTGACTCAACAGGATACTTGAAAATTTTGATGAATCAATGCCCAAATCTGGATGTGAAATTGCACAAATTTTCATCCATTTTCTGGTTAACATATGCGATATATATACAAATATAAAGGAAAGGTACAAAATGCGTATTGGATTCCTACGTGACAATTAGCCTGTCAAAGTTTACAAAACTTGCAAAAAGGATATTAGAACCATTCTTTGCAAATAACACTAATTAACAAACTTACCATATTGTTCTGCAATTTCATTCCAATCAAGTAAGATTTCTTCCTTCTCAAAACCTTCACTCACATAATCAACAATAGTCTTCACCCAACCTTTCTTCTCAGTTCCTAACCTCCTACACAGAACCGGGTATTCCTTCCCCTCTGGAATATATTGGTAGTACAACCTGTTCAGTCCCATTAACAAGCCATTGGCAAATAAAAATACAGTCACACTTAGCTGCAACCACACAAATACAAACATACATGCAAAATGCGCACACACACATATATATACATGGTAATGATCTCTTGCTCACTGGTGAGAATAGAATTTTTTCACATGAAGCACAATATGTGTATATATATATATATATATATATATATATACATATAATTTTACACACACAGTTACCCATATGCTACTGATTGCACTAATTAGCCAACAATTCCAATGCTTCTAGGCTACAGAAATACCATATTCAAACTTCATAATTTCAACTACACAAATACATAAGCAATACAAGATACATGCAGAATGCATACATACATACATACATATATATATATATATATATATATATATATATATATATATGTTTTGTGTGTATAATTTTACACACCCACTTGCCCATATGCTACTGATTGAACTAATTAGCCAACGATTCCTAGGCTTCAATGCTACGCACATACCATATCCAAAATTTATAATTTCATATAACAAGCAAATTAAATAATTCAAACAACTACCCAAATAAGGTATCAACCGTATCATAGAAATCAATAATTGGGTTTGGGTGAAATGAACAGACCATGGTCCCCAACGTTCAGGGGGAGTGGAAATCTTGGAGGGCATCCGGCTTGTCATCTCAGAAAACAGTGTTTGCTGTAGTTTTCGAGTGTCGGCCATGAAAGCATGGGCATATGAGTTTTCTTGGTTTAGGTAGTCGATGAAATCTGGGTCGTTGGTGTTGGACATCCAATGGTAGGGGTCTTGCCACGTCATCCCATGAGCTGAGACAGTGAATGGCACTTTCGTCGGGACAGGTGGGGTTTCAGAGGGTGAAGGAAAGGGGTTTCCATTGCAGAGGGAAGAGAAGAGAGAAGAGGATTTGAAAGGGAATAGGCGTAAAGAGAAGGGCAAAGGTGACTTTTTGAATATCTTGCCGGTGTTTAGGAAGACGGCCAAAGAAGCCATGAAGATGGAAAGGGTTAGAGAGTGGGGTTTTCACTGTAATTGAAGCTGAAGTTGCAGTGGCTTCTGGGTTTTGTGAACGAGACTGTAATGTTTGACTCGGTCGAGTCACACCCAATCAACTCGGAACAGTGAAATAATAAATAATTTCATGGAACACTTTTATTTATTTATTTTTATAAAAAAAATTGTTTGGTGGATGTTTTTTTAAACAATAATTTTTTTTAGAAAACTGTTTCTAAAAAGTAGTCTTTTATAATTTATTAATTTTTTATTTTTTCTATAAAACTAAATTAAACTAACCAGATTAATATATAAATCACTTTCACCGTAAACCAATTATAAATCGTTTTCAATAATAAATATTAATTTGGATGGTACGATGTATCTCCTGGCCATTATATTTTTAACTTTATGAAAACTATTTTCTTTGGTAAGTTACTTCTAATGGAAATATTGTATTTGTATCCTTGTGAAAACTATTTTCTTTCATAAAATACTTAAATGTTCTTTTTGATTGAAAGAGGTGCAAATAAAAGGACAGGAATGAAATTAGAGTTGATTTCAGTGACATCTTTTAAGGTTTAGACAAATATCTCATTGAAATAATTTTAGAAAATTATTATTATTACTTAAGTTCAATTTTACTTTTTCGTAGCAAAAGACCACTGAAATTAACTCTATTTTAATTTATCTATTCCATTATTAATTTCTTGGGTTAATTTTAGTGACACTTCCTGGGCTATAGACAAATATCAATTTTGAAATAACTTTCGAAAATTAGTATCACTTCCTTTTGGTAGGAATGAAAAAATTTGAATGAAAGGGAGAAAATAATGGATAACTGAGACATCCTAGGGAAGAGATATTAATATTGAAATAAGTGTTTCCTTCTTTTTGTTCGGTTTAATGGAAGAGAATGAAAAAAACTAACAATTTAATTTGATCGGTAAAATAAAAGAAAAGGTAAATTTTAAAGTTATTTTTACCATTAAACTCATCCCCTACTTTATTTATGGGATTTATTAAATATTTATAAAGGGTGATGTAGTAATTTAAAATTTCTATAATAGGCTCACTTTCTTCTCTCCTATCTTTCGCCCATATTTGGGTAGATGAAAATTTGTGAAGGAGAAAGGATGACTCATCCTTCTTATTATCCTTTTTTTCCTTATATCATCTTTACCGAACGAAAGAAATTTGTTCATTCCTTTCTATTTTTCTTCCACCCCTCTTCATTCCTTCATAACGAACATATCATTAAGTCCAATTTTACTTTTCTATCACTAACACCATTAAAATTGTGCGAAAAGACAATTTTGCCTCTAATATTTTAAGAACAATATTTGTCTTAGGTCGCATAAGAAAAAACTTCCTTCTTACGATAAAACTTCAACATGTATTAAACTTGTAAGATAAAAGAAAAAGATAACTACAGAGAATAAAAACTGTACAAGCTATCTCCCATCTCGAAGTATCAACAGGCTTTCCAATAAAGTCCGATGACGACAGAAAGGCCGCCGGCATACAAGCTCCCATTTCATGGAATCAGTCCGATTCCGATTAGGCTTCATGGATTTGGAACTGAACTTATTGTCGGAGCCCTAAAATGACATATAATATTTCTGTTTTTTATCATTTTCCATTTTCTGAAATTTTTTGATTTTCTGAGGGTATTTTCGTTTTTTTTCTTTTTGCGTGCCGAACACTGTAGGGTGTGCCAGGTGTGTCCGAGAGTTGGTTGGGGCATTCCATTGAGTTCAGGACTCTTGGAAATGCATCAGTTGCTATTTCGGCATTTTTTTTATTTTTTGGGTTAGACGGTCCCGGGTGGGACTCGTCATCGGAATTGTTGCGTACAGGTTTTTTGTTTGAGTCCATTTGCATCATAATCATTTTATTTAATGTGTTTTATGTGGTTGTAATTTAATATGTGTGTATACATATATATATAATTATGTGTGTGGTGGTAATTAATGAAAAAAGAAAAGAAAAATTCTTTAAAAAAAGGGTGGGACCCACATTTTTTTTTTAGAAATGGGCCAAGAGGCATTTTTTTTTTTTGCCTCATTTCCTTTCACTTTTTTCTCTCTCCACATAGGTTTTGTTTTTTTTTTTTTTATCTCTCTCTCTCACTTTCCTTTTTCTTTTTACTTTGGCTTCAAATTTTCAAACTTTGATTTCTCTCTCACCTTTGAGAGATTTTTGGTATCATTTGCGGCAAATCAAAGAGCTCGACGAGATTTACGCATTGATATAAGCAATTTCTTATTCGGTGCACTCTAGGGATTTCGAATTTTTGGACCTATTTAGGGGTTTTTGCATCTAAGTGAAGTAGGGGTGTTTAATTCGCAACTTCTTAGATTTTTGTGAGTTATCTTGTGTAAATTGTTGCCTAGTATGCTTTAATTGTGTTGATTCCTTTAAAGTGACTAAATTGGTGTATGTGGAGCATATGATTATATGTATTAGTTCGTATTGTGTGAGAAAGCATGTTAAAATGTTTATATTTCATGCCAATTATGTTATATGACTTGAATTTTGTGACTTAGAAGCATGATATAAAATACCGATGATTTTCTACAAAGCATGTATATTGTGAATATATTTGATTTGTATAGAATGAAATTTCTTGTTGACATGGCATTTAAATGTATAGAATATTCATGCACTCATTGGGGAGCAAAGGGAAAATTGGCTTTGAAAGAAATAAAAACGGGAAATTGGCCTTCAAAAGAAAAATAAATAAATTTGAGAAATGGTTATGGAAATGGGGAGTGACATTGCATCTCATTTCACGGCATGTTCATTCTCGACTTGGGTTGTTGATATTGATATTGTGGTTATTTTATCCCCGGCATGGTATGATCCTAATTCCTGTATTTCTATTCGTTACGTGGATTCACGGGGTCTCAAGAGGTGTGCCTTAGGCACCTTCTACTGAGCTTTTAACTCACCCTATTATTTAACATTTTTCATGTTTGGGAAAAGAAGGGACGGGCGACAACCCATTGCAAATTAAGACTAGATTAGAACTCTTATTTTGTTGTCTTTTGTATAGAAACATGATCATGTACCTTTTACAAAAAATAAATAAATAAATAAAATAAATAAATTAGGTGTAACTTGTATAGTGTTGTAATGGTAGAATTTGTGTAAATAAATATATTTCATGGACTGTAACTTATGTAATTAAAGTGATTCCTTGTTTGGAGGAGATAAAGGAATGGGTTATTTTGTATATATGTGTTGATTTTGTGGACGTTGTATATTATTGCATTGTGTGTTGGGACTGGTTAGATTAGTTTTGATGCCAAATGAGGCCATTGCATTTTATGTGTATTTCAGTAGGTCGTAGTAGCACCTTTTTCTGTAGAAGTCATGCCGAAATTTTTATTTTTATTTTTACTTATTTTTTATATTATTTTTTTTATTTTGGGTCGTTACAAAATTTGGTATCAGAGCTTTAGGTTCAAAAACCTAAGGACGACAGGTAGGGTTGACCTAGAGGAGTTAAAATTGAGTTTGACGATGTCGCATGTTTATGTGGTTATTACTTGTTTAAATTGAAAGAATGATTTATCACTATGTGTTTACATGCATACTAAATGATAACGTGATTATTGTTATTAAGTTTATTGTTTAGTAAATGTGAAAGCATGCTTATTTGCTAAATGTTTATGTGTAGCTGATTATATGATTAAGTTGCCAAATACATACTTGATTTATTGCATGCTTAATTGTTAACTGTTTGTTGTTGATGAAAGCATGCTTAGTTGACTACAACCCCATCAACCCCTCCACCTCCCCATTTGGCCACACTCTTCCTCTCTCTTTGTTTTCATCTCTCTCTCCCTATATCTATACACTTTATACTCCATTAATTCAAGCCAAGATTTGAGGAGTTGGAGTGAGATCTTGAAGAAGGCTAAGAAGGGAATGTTGGAGAACTTGGAAAAGATTACCTTTTGTCATCCATCTTACTAGGGTTGGGAGATTTCAAAAATTAGGGCTTGTTTGGTTGTCTTCTTTGAGGTAGGGTTGTTTAATTCATTATGTCTTTGCCTCTTCTTAAGTTTCTTTTATAACTTATTTGAAAATCCTTGTCTTGAAATTATTTGATCATGTTTTATGTGATGAAGTTATGATAAGATGTGGTGTATGTGTGCTAAGTTGCAAGATTGATTAATTAACATGTCATGCATATGTTGGCACCCTAGACATCCTCTATTGAGCAGTGAAGCTCACCCCTTATTTTAAACAAATTTCAGGTCTTGTAAGTGATTGAGCGGATGACACTCGTGCGACCGAGCGTGTGCACAAAATAATACACATCTCTTTTGCTCCCATGTTTAGGATTGTGCCAAATGTCACATTTTCGTGGGTGCAACTTTATGCTAAGTTACCTTATTGCCCTCCTTCTTTTATTTCAATACCAACAAGCTCCCGAAAATATTTTCCTCTAATATATAGATACATATATACATATATACATGTGAAATGTCCATCTCACCCTTCGATACAAATGGCAAAATCGGAAGAGATTCTCGAGCCTGAAAATCGTCCCGAATTTCAAAACATTAAAAAATGATACCTTTATTTCTAATTATAAATAAAAAATATATTTCTAAAACTCCTCGTTCAAGAAAATAATTTAAACAACCCTCGGAGCCTGCGTGGCACGCAAAACAACGCACAAAAAATAAATTAAATAAAAATTTTAAAAAATTCAGAAAAATCCCAGACATTACAACTAATTATTGGTCTAGCGTCTTCATTCTCCCTATATCAGTGATCGCATAGGTCAATAAACTTATGCGGAATTTCTTATGGACAGGTACTAACTTTAAGCACACATGGGCTGAGGTGAATTGTTATACATGTTGTCAATCCAAAAAATGTGGAGGTCTTAAGGTGGCAAACAGAGCAGCTGCCCTTAGGCACATATGGACTCTTTTATCCAATCGTAGGGACAACATTTGGGCTCAATGGGTAAGGGTACAACTTATTAGAGATAGATATTTTTGGACTTTAGGCATACCACAGTCTTGCTCAAGCAACTGGAAGAGAAT